AGTTACATTTGCTACTTTCCTCTTTTAGGCTACCATCTGGCTATCTACACTTCCAGAAGAAAAAAATTCTAGCCAATAGGACTAAAATAGCTAATGCGCCAGCCTATGTGCCAAAAATATGCCAGGAAGTCTACAGTTTGTTCAGGCATGCCCAAAAGAAAGACGCTAATGTCCTTAAAAGACAAATGTAAATAACTCATAGCATATTTACCCAACTTGAGAAATTATCTTCCTACTTAGGGGACACAATGAGACAACACCAGGAGGAAAAGCACAACAAACGTAGTTACATACAAAAGGCAAAGAGAAGTAATCAAACTCATTCATTTGACATCAACTTGTCCTCAAGACTTGTAATGGACACTAGAGACAAAGTGGAAAGAGAGTGTGGGCGGGGAGAAGTGTAGGAAAGGAAATTTGGGGGAGGATGGAGAGGTAAGACTCTTGTGGGACACAGATAAGGTTTATTATCTGTTGATGAGGATGTGCATAATAGTCTCAACTGGGCTGGACTGAGGTGTAAATCATGCTGGGTAAAGTCTCTTCACAATCTAAATGATGTATAGTGATTTAATGTATGAATAATAATAATAATAATATTTTTAAAATAAAAAATTTTAGTAAAACAAAATTTAAAAAGTCTACTGATCAAAAACATCAGTACACAACTAACTACAGTCAGTACAGTTCCAATTTCATGAGGACTTGTTAAGAATGGGTGAAATAATGGGGCAGGTGCATCAATTTTTATAATACCCCTCGAGAAAGGAAATGTAAAGATCCTACATGTAATGAACACAAGATTCATCACTACAACTGTATCTATAATCACTTTCTTTTTCTTAATACTCAAAAGTGGTCAAAGATAATCTAGGACAAATAAACTACCATATCCTTTGAATTTTCTTTCACTAATACAAAAAAGCAAGCCATGGTAACAAGAACCTACAGTTACTGACAGATGAACAGTAATTATCAAATACAAAGATATGCAGAAAACCACATACCATTGTATAAACAGAAACTGTAGAGTTTGTATTGTATCCAGATGAACAAGACAGACAGTGCTGGCTCACATGGAGTTTACATTTTAGCGCAAGAATTCTAGTGAAATAATTAAACATTTGGGAAGGACAATGCCATGAAAGAGAGGTACCAAATTTAATCTTTATTTTCAAAATGGAAAGACCAATATCCAAAGGAAGTAGAGAAAACCGAATTTTAAGTAAAATTCTAATTCTCATAAATTTTGAGGAAATACTATATTTGTAAGTCAAAAACAGATCATGGTACAAGAGAAAATTTTGAGTGAAAATTCACATCTAGTCACATCTATATGAAAACTTAAAAAAGCAAAGAACTTCTCCTGAAGGTTTTTAGAGATAGAAAAGATATAAGGCATTTTCAGATATTCAAGGATTGACTACAGTCTAAATTAAAAAGAACTATTAAAGAATATACCTCATCAAATGAAATAAAACAATAAATAACATATTTAAAAACTGTAAAAGAATAAAGCATAATATTATTTATAAATATTTTTAAACATATTGAACAATATGGAAATACTTACACAATAAAAAAAAAAGAAACTCATGGTGATGATGCATGATAGTAAGAGGTAAGTAAATGGGGTAGGGCTTTGACTTGATGCTTCTTTAAGAAGAAACACCACTGGGCCAGTGGGTGATGTCGTGGTTAAGGCACTTGGAATCCACAAGGCCAACTGAGCAAGCACAGGTGCATATGTACAAGGAGAGTGAATGAAGAAGGGGCTGCAGTGTTACCATTCCCAATGAGAAGGCGCTTTCTCACTCCTCCCTACTCCCCATCTCTCTTTTGTGAGTGTAAATACCCACTGGCAAATTCATAAATAAAAGAAAAAGAAACAGCACCACCGTGGTCAGAATCACAGATAATCTCAACACAGGGAAGGGAGTAGGTGAGAAAGGGAGCAAGAAGAAAAATGTAAAATTTTAATACTTTCTTTTTCAGTAAAGAGTATGGATACTAATTACATCTAGATATTGATAGTACAAAAAAAGTTTAAATATATGTATTAAAGGTTTAAGGTTAACAATGAAAAATAATTTTGAAGTAGATATTTTTCATGCTCCCAGATCATCAGAAGAAAGAAATGACACACTGAAGGCAACCAATCTAAAGAACAGCAGACTGTCCAACTGGATCACAAACTACAACGAATATGAATTAATTAAATTCACTACTAAATTAGACTCTTACTTTGGACTTAGGGGCTTAAAAATCATGCTGGATGTGTATGCATGCAGTCCAATATCCCTAGAGGAGAATGGAAGAAAAGGGACTGTAGCATGGCAACCGCCTGGCCCCAGGGATGATTTCTCACTTTCTCTCTTTCATTATCCCACCCTTTCTCCCTCTGGCAGCCCAAGCACCCTTTGTGTATACACACACACATATATATATACAAATATATATTTTATATATATATATTTTTATGTGTGTGTGTGTGTCTCTCTCTCTCTCTCTATATATATATATATATACATAAAAACAAAACCAATTATCAAAACCAACTGAAAATGACTTAACTTCCATAATCATAGGACAATATTCAACACATCTTTCTCAAAAGTTCACACTTCAAGTAAATAGAAAGGATAAATAAAAGAATTTTTAATAAACTTGATTATGTACATCTAAACATGTAAAGATATGAGCACATGTAGATCAACAGAGAGTATAATTAATAAACAGCTTAAAAGATGATCATACATCAGGCCACAAAAATAAGAAAAAGATTTCAAAAAAAGTGTCCAAAGTATGAAACAAGTATGATAAGCCTATCTCTGATCATGCCTCAGTGAAACATACGGAAAATCCCTAGAACCTTTTTCATTTAGATTGGCATCAGGGCAAAAATTTAAATGGCAGCTTAGGCAAGAGTGCAGAGTAATGAATATTTATAGAAATTTTGTGTGGGAGTGTAAATTTGCAATCCCATTTTATAAAAAATTTGATGCTATGTATCAAAATCTTAAATGTTCACAGCCTTTGACTCAATAATTATACCTCTAGAAATTCCTCTTACAAAAAAAGTTTGTATAATCACAAATCAAATATAGAACACTATACAGTGCAATACTAACAATCACAGCAAAAAGACAGTTCAATAAACAGCACTGAAAAGTGGTTAAGTAATTTACAACATATCCTTATCATAAAATATCAAGCACTGACATGGAACTAATCTGCAAGACAGGGGTTTATTCATTATTTTTTTTAAGTGTAAAAAAATACACATTTATCATTCAATTATATTAAAATACAAAATCAGTTTTTAAAAGGAATGGAAAAACACAGTGAATTTTTTTTCTTTCTTTATTGGTAGAGTTTTTTTTTTGTTTTTTTTTTTTTAACCTTAGGGCACATGTGCTCACTGGAGAGAGAGAGAGACAGAGACAGTAAGACTGAAATTGAGAAATCACCCCTCAGGGGAGATGGCCACAGTACAATCCCTTTTCCTCCTGGGATCTTGGGTATGCACACATGTGTACCTGCAGTGAGCACAAAGCTACGGGTCTGAGACACGAACCCTGGTCAGCCATGTAGGAGTCTGGCGAGATAACTGCTATACCATCTGCTGGCCCAGAGAGGAAGAAATCACCCCCCAAGGCATATGGACACACTGCAATCCCTTCTCTTCTATTCTGCTCTTGAGATTTTGGGCTGGCACACATGTGTACTGTTGTGTTTTTCAAGTCGACAGTTCTAGGACTTAAACCACAAAGTTGGCCATGTGGGATCCAGGCCCCTTAATCTCCAATCACGTGCTTGGCCTCATATCTTACCTTACATATGACCAACTGTTTTAGTCTTTGATGATTTGTACCACTTGAATAAGATAAAAAAAAAAAAGTTTTTTTTTAAAGAGAGATTTTTTTCCTATAGGGCATATGCAGTTACCAGAGAGACAGAGATACAGAAAGTAAGAAATCACCCCACAGGGGGTCTGGCCATGCCACAGTCCCTTCTCCTCCACTCTCCTCTCAGAATTTTGGGCACATATACACATGTGCCCACTCCCAGGTCCTGGACTTGGACCACGGTGGACTACATTGAGGCCAGCACATTAATCACTATGCCACCTGCTGCTCCCAAGAAGCATTAATTTTTAAAAAAACATCTTATTTACTTCCCAGGAAAAGACTGGGACCTTTCTGTTAGCACAAATTTGATCAAGCCCATCTTGTACAAGGCAAGTGCAAGCTTCCATCTTCTGCTGGGAATGGTCCTCCCTCAGATAACAAGCACCACTTCGCTTCCGTCAAGTCCCACTATCACCTTATCTGAGGAACCCTTCTGACTTTAGAATAGAAAATGACAGCCTCCTACAGCCATCCAACCACTTCCCAACTACACAACCTTCATTTTTCACTAGCTAGTTCACAAGATGTGTCTTAGTTTCCTTATCTTTAAAGTGGAGTTGATAATAACACCTACCCTACAGAGTGTTGTTAGGCTTAAGTGAGCCAGAAGGTCTTAAATGAGTACCTAGCAGATAACAGTCATAATTCATTCTTTCTTTCTTTTTCTTTTTCTTTTTTCTTTTTTTTTTTTTTGTCTTATTTGTTATGGTCTGCCTTCCCTCTATTAAAATAACAACTCCAAGAGGCAGGGACTGTGCTTTGTTCACTATTGTATCCTGAATACCTGAAAAGTGCTTATCAGTAAACATTCTTGGTTGCTAAAACCTGATTTAGTACTGCAGCCTTATGCATGCACAGTTGAGGGTATAAGAAAAAGATCAATTATTTTCAGAAACAACAAGCTTTCTGCATATTACTATGAATCACTGACAACATTTCAATCTATTTTAAAATTTAAGTATAATATTTAGCAGTATGACTCCTAGAAGCTTCAGGAAGGGAAGTGGTACAGTACTACTGAATTTGTTAATTTCTGAACACCAGAAACTAAAACATGAATGTGGAATGAGAAAACAAAGCAAAACTTACTTTTCATTCCTACTTTTGATGCATGGCTGGTAGAGGACCTTAACAGCATTCCAGGTAGACCTGGAATCTGCTTTTAAAGTGTCTTCCAACAGGGGAAATTTTTTGATACTTTCGGAACTTCTCAGAGATTCAATCACCAAGCTGTCTGAGTTTAAAAGCCATAGCTAAAGATGGAAAGAAAAGTACAAGGATAAGGATATTGCCACTATATCCATACCTTTTTTTCCTCACCAGCTGAGAAAAAAAAAAAAAACTATAAAATTAATGGAAAACATAAAGAAGAATCATGTGTATCATTTTAAGTAGTGAAGGTCTTTTCAACTATAACATTTGGTAGAGCAACCTCCATCATTAGAAAAAACTGACCAGGAGAAAACACTTAATATATAAATAACAAAACTGTTATTTACAGCACATAGAACTTCCAGAAATCTATATGGGGCACAAAAAAATAGCTCAACAGAAACAAAGTAAATGAACAGAATTAACAGAAGAAACAAGTGATAAAGAAACATTGTAAAAATGTTAATGTGATTGTTATACCTTAGATACAACGACCTTGTTAACTTAGCTTAAGTAAAGACATTTTGTGACTTGGGACAAGTCACTGCACCACCCTGCCTAACCGCGAGATGCGCAGGCAGCACACCACGGCTGCAAAACCATAAGGAAGCTAGATACGCCTGGATGCCATAAAACCGGGGCCTTCACAGACCCTACTAGGAACTGTCACTCAGTCATTCTGAGCGGTCAGAGCAGACTTTTCCCCGAGAACGGAGTGGATTTCAAACTGTGAGACGGAGCGCAGTCCTCCCTGAACATCGAGGCCGCCCTGGCCGGCTACAGTAACCACCTGCGCTAGCTCCAGCCCGCCTCCCCTGGCAGCACCTGCCTCCTTCTCCACGATCGCGCCTCGAGTCCACTTGGGCTAGACTCCGGGCTCGAGTGCCGAAACTGGCTTCACCATGTCCTGTCCCAGCTTAGGACGACCCGCGCTCCCGTCAATTCCTCCCTGACTGTCATAATTTGTGAGCGTAACCCTCTGTGAATAAGCAAAGCTTTTGAAAACCAATTCCGTGCCGGTCTCTCTGTGAGTAGGATTCTTACCAGGGAACCTTGATTGTCCCTGGCACCGGCCCACACTGTAAGTCGCTATACTGTCACGTCGCACCTTGACTCAATTCTCTGTTTGCGACAGTGATTAATAAAGAAATGGGAAAGGTACTACCATTTTCCACTTATTAGATGAGTAAATGTAAAAAGGTAGATAACCTCCAGGTCAGAGGAGGGGCTTAGAACGGTGGAAGAGTGGTGGGATTCGGATGCATGTGGCTGATTCACTAAAAGAATACTCTTCAGGAGAAAGGAAGTGAGGGACATGGGATAAGATCGGGAAAGAGCTGGTAAATACGCAGACTCAGCTGGAGTCTAGCTTCAGGCTTATCTCATGAGGGGCTCTGGAGCATGACTCATGCCCACAGTTTGTCTCAGGCAAGACAGAAGCCCCAGTGTCGTGGCCAAGGTTCAAACCTTTGGCAGTGGGCTGAGGAGGGCTGTGGTGGTGGTGGGGGAACAATGGAAGACAGAGAACTCCCTGGACAAGGCAACATTGGTCATAAGAGGGCGAATCTCTGGAGATGGGGTCAGCTGTTGAAAATACATGATCTCTAATATTAGATTAGAAGGGTATATTTCTAATAAAGCACTAAAATTCATGTACAAAGATGAGCTTTGTTGTAGCACTGTTTTTAACTGCTATCTATAGTGGGATACTAGTCATTACTCAGATTTATATTTACCCTAACAAAAAATCCTCATGGTGTATTGTTATGTGAAACAAAACAGACTGCAGAAAAACGCTATTTGTGTGATACTAGTTTTTTTTTTTTTTTTTTTTTTTTTTTTTTTTTTTTGCAGATAGACAGCTGCACATGAGTGTATGTATTGGGTCATTGGAAAAGTCACGATGCATTTTTGCATAGAAAAACATAGAAAGATACGTCATGACTTTTCCAACGACTCAATATATATACTTGTATACAGATAGGAAAAAAAGTTGAAGAATACATATCATAGTGTAAATAAGGATAACTTCCAGGGGAGGGACCAAAATAAGGAAATCTTTTTTTTTTTTTTTTTGAGAGTTTTTTTTTTTTTTTCTATAGGGCACGTGCGCTTGCCAGATAGACAGAGAGAGACAGAGAGAGACAGAGAGACAGAAAGTGAGAAATCATCCCCCAGGGGGGATGGCCATGCCACAATCCCTTCTCCTCCATTCTCCTCTCGGGATTTTGGGCACGCATGCACACACGCCTGGTGTGAGTTTAAGCCACCAGGTCCGGGACCCAAACCACGGTCGACTACATGGGAGTCCAGCGACATAGCCATTATGCCAACTGCTGGCCCCAGGAAACCATCACTTCTTTACATGTGTCATGTTGTCTGATTATCTTTCACAAATACATTACTCCTATTTTTAAAAAAATAAAATAAAAATAAAACTATATAAAGTTTAAAAAAGTTCCTCTAGGGTCTGGTTGGTGATACAGTGCTCATGCAACTGGAATCACATGGGAAAGGCATGGATTTAAGTCCTGGGACCTTTCTGAAAATTCTGGGCATGTGCATATGTGTGATCCAGGTTGACAGAGATGGGTCCTGGACCACTGGATGAAGACCCTGTGGGTGGTGCCCCTCTCTTTCTCTCAGCGAATAAACAAATAAGCTTTGGGGGGAAAAAGGGTTTCCTGATTTTCATCTGGAAAACCTTACAATTAAAAAAAAAAACTAAAATTGATTTCATAGTATGACTATAAAGTATATTTAGTACCAACTTCAACTTCAGTCAGAAAAAAATTTTTTTTCACAGAACTAATCTGCACTGAAGGCAGCATGCAGGGCTACAAAGCCACACACAACAGCCACTGCAGGTCCTCCTCTACTTCTTCCTAGCAGATTTCTCGTTAGCTGCGAGTTCCAAGGAGTTCCTTGGTTCTACCTCAAGCACCCAGAATATTGTCTGTCAAATAAGAAGTGCTCCATACATGTTTACTGGTTGAATAAAATAAATGTAAAAGTGAAGAAGAGATTTGGGCCATGACACTTGGATTTCTAGATAAATGTCCCAAGTTCATTTCTGCAGAATACTATTTTTAATAAAGCCACTAGAATATTAAATCTTTGTAGTATATGTAGGAGATGATTCTGCCAACCGTGAAGCCTTTTCTCCAAAACTTCATGCTATTTCTCAAATATCAGAGTCAGAGAAGATGAAAACAACAGGAACAATAGGTCATCTTTTAAAAATAAGAGTATCAAATAGAAGGAGGGAGTGAAAGAGACCAAGAAAAGTCATTAAAAACTAAACGTGAAAAAGACATCATTTTGTGGTATGAGCTTCTAAAGAACAAGAATCGGGTTTTCTATTTCTATACCTAGTACATAAGGTACTTGATCATTTGTTATTAAATTAAGAGAGTTTGATTAATGCTATAAACTGAAATTGAAATTCCAATTTTGATAATTTTCTTCATTGAAGAAAAAAATGACAACAACAATTAAGTAGTTTCTGCAACTTGAGATTACTGGGCTACAAAAAATTAGGTGAGGGGCAGCTTGGCGGTACAGCAATAAATGCTGCTCAAGCAGTGCCGGATCCATATGGAAGATCAGGAGTTCGGTTCCAGCTCAACCTGTGCACGCTGGGCACACATGCCCACGATCCTGGCTATATGGGAAGGCCGAGGGGACTGCAGTGTGAGAACCTAGTGAGGGTACTTGTTAACCTCTCTCTCACGCTTAAAAAAGAAATGAATGTTAAACTTAAAAAGTTAGCTGAAATAATTTCTTACCAAGATGTATACTCTGCCGTCTTGATCCTGAACAGTAAATCTGAAAGTACTTCTAGCAGAGGACAGTTCCGCCAGACACTGGGCAGTAATGCTCTCGACAAACTGAGACCTGTTTGAACAGAAATCAGTTTTCACAACATGTTTCTCATCCTAAGTCTAACTGGCAAGAAAGGCCAAAAATACCCACAGGGCACCTAAAAGGCAGAGAAATCTACAATGCCCAGTCCCTCACAACCTGAGCTAATGCGGATTTTAGTACATCCCAGCGTATTTGTGTTTGCTCCATTCTTCTTAAAACCCATGTCCTTAATGCACTGTCCACCCAAACTGAACTGTCCTCTGCTACTGAATAAAAGATGCCATGCTAGAACAAGTCAATATTTTATTTGTGCTACAGCACATTAAACAGCAAATAACTAACTTACAAAATAAGGTGAGAAATTTCCTCACAAATGTTTGACAGTATCAATTACAGGTTTTCCCAACGGGGTCTCCTTAAAAATATCAACTCTGAGCTACAGAGTCAAAGTGTTTAAAGGAAGGCAAAATTCAAGGTTATGTTCAGATTGCAACAGTTTTTGGATATTAGTAAACAAACTGAAGTAAAGAAATACATAGATTTAGTGGCTAAGTGCCATTAAAAAAAAAACAAAAAACAGGAATCATTTAAAACTGACCCATATTTTGGAAGCCAGCAGGTGGAACGGTAGTTAAGGCTCTGAACTCTCACACGGCCAACCATGGTTTGAGTCCTGGACCAGGTGGCTTGAAGATCATGTTGGGGGCATGTGCACATGTGCCCAAAATCCTGCGAGGAGAATAGCCATCCCCCCTGGAGGCTGATTTCTCTCTTCCCCTCCCTGACTCTCTCTCTCTGGCAAGCGCATACACCCTGTGCCAAAAGCAAACAAACAAAACCAAATGCAAACTGACCCATATTTAAATTTTATAAAAGATCAAATAAAAGATGAATAATTACTGAAAACACCCTTTGATGATTAGGTTATAAGATCCTGGATATTTGGCACATAGAAAGAAGCACAAACAACTATAAGCATTAGGAGATTTATATGCGGGGCCAGCAGCTGGTGCAGTGGTTACAGGCTCAACTGCAACATGGTGGAACTCAGACCAGGTACAAGTGCACGTGTGCCCAAAATCCTGAGAGGAGAATGGAGGAGAAGGAATTGTAGTGTGGACATCCCCCTGGAGGGTGGTTTCTTACTTCCCCTCTCACTATCTCTCTCTTGTCTCTCTGCAAGCGAGTGCACATGCCCTAAGGTAAAAATTAAAAAAAAAAGATTTATATGATTATGTTTGCCTATACCATCTTATAAGCAAAACATGAAGAAATAGATCCTTAAGCCTTTTATTATGTATGGTTTTGTTCAACTGTATAAAAAGTTTGATAAAGGCTTTTCCTACTCTTTCCAGATAAAGAGAAGTATGAATAAAAGTGAATTCCAAGATACTTAATTATATCTACTTTTCCTACATTTAAAAATGACAATGTAGGGGCTAGCAGGTGGCATGGTAGTTAAGGCACTGGACTAACACAGGACCAACCACGGTTCAAGTCCTTGACCTACAGGCTTGCTTTCTCATTTTCTCTCTCTCTCTCTCTCTCTTTCTCTCTCTCTCTCTCTTTCCCCCTAGTTCTCTATCTGGTCAAATGAAAAGATAACAATAATAATTTAAAAAATTAAATAATTTAAAAAAATTTAAATGACAATATAGTATAGAGACCAGGAGATGGCATAATGGTTATATCACTGGACTCCCATGTAGTCAATTGTGGTTCGACCCCCAGACTTAAAACTCATGCTGGGTTGGGACCAGCAGATGGCATATGGTTATGTCACTGGACATAATTGACTGTCGTTCAAGTCCCAGACCCAGTGGTTTAACTCATGCTGGGCACGTGTGAGTGCATACCCAAAATCCTGGGAAGAAAACAGAGGAGAAGGGATTACAGCTTGGCCATCCTCTTTGGGGGCTCACTTACTATCTCTCTGTCTGTCTCTGTCCTTTGGGTGAGGCCACACCCTACAGCAAAAATCTCTCTTAAAAAATAAAATAAAATAAAATAATAAAATGACAACACACATCCATCTGGTGCCATGGTGGTTAAGGTGGCTGGATAGTACATAGTACATAGTACATAGTTGACTAACCAATTCAAATTCCAAACCTGGTGGCTTGAAAATCACACAGGGTACATGTGTGAGTGTGACTAAAATCCCTAAAGGAAGTAGAGGTGAAGGAAAAGGGATGTGGCATGACCATTTCCCATGGGGGGGGGGTGCTTGTGTCCTTTCTCTCTCTCTCTCTTTGTCCATTTGTCTCTAGCAAGCACACTTGCCGTCTAGGAACTTAATAATTTATGAAAGAAATTTAATTTCCTGTTGTACCTTGGCATGACTGGAAAACTTCTCTCAGATGGCTGAATAATTATCTCTGTCATATAAAACTTAGTGGTTTCTAGAAATAAAAAGAAATAAAATTAAGAATTTCCTCAATACGGTAATACTTTTATTGTGGGCATGTTGGTCCCAAATTATGACATTCTAGACCAAATATTCACATACTGGTAAAATTAACATTCTAAGGCTTCAGAAAGCACAGTGTCATTTTAGAAAATCATGGCCAGGACCAGCAGTTAGCATAATGGCTATGTCGCTGGACTCCCATGTAGCTGATTTCTCGCTTTCTATCTCTGTCTATCTCTGTCTTTCTGGCGAGCACACATGCCCTTTCCAAAAAAAAGAAAAAAAAAAGAAAAAGAAAATCATGGCCTAAGTGAATCTGGTATAGAAAGATTCTGCTCACAAGTATGGAAGTTTCCAAAATTAGTCATGTAATGGTCCTAGCCCATTAATGTAGAAACTGGCATTTGGGTTTCCCCTTTTCTGGACATTAGGTACATGCCGGGAGTCACTGAGAAGGATCACACAGTATCTTAAAGTTTGTGTGTTGATGCTATGAACCTCATATTGGTTTTCATCTAAAATCTCACCAACTCTTTTAATGTATAATTCTCATAAAATCTGGTTATTTGAGGCCCAGCAGGTGGCATAGTGGTTGAGGTGTTGGACTCCCACATGACTAAACAAGAGGCTTGAAACTCATACCAGGTGCGTGTGTGTGTGTGTGTGTGTGTGTGTGTGCGCGCGCGCGCGCCCAGAATCCCAAGATGAGAATGGGGAGAAGGGACTGTGGCGTGGTTATCCCACCAGGGAGTGATACCTTAATTTATCTCTCTGTCTCCCTGGTGAGCACATACTCCCCATAACAAAAATCTCTCTTAAAAAAATATGGTTATCATGGGACCAGCAGTTAACATAATGGCTATGTCTCTGGACTCCCATGTAGTCGACCGCGGTTCGAGTCCTGGACCCAGTGGCTTAAACTCACGCTGGGCGTGTGTGCGTGTGTGCCCAAGCTCCCGAGAAGAGAATGGAGGAGAAGGGATTGCAGCATGGCCATCCCCCCTGGGGGGTGATTTCTTGCTTTCTGTCTCTCTGTCTCTCTGTCTTTCTGGTGAGCGCACATGCCCTATAGCAAAAACCTCTCCACCCCCCCCCAAAAATACATATAAACAAAAAACAAAACAAAAAAATGGTTATCTGATTACTTAAGTTACAAAATAATTTAAACAGTATACTAGATAGTAGACATGAATATAGACATACTTATTTTGGACTCCATGAAAAATGTTTAATCTAATTAGTAATGAAGAGAATGCTAGTCAAAATAAGATATTCCTTAACATCAAACAAAATATATTTTTTCCCTTTTTTTTTGAGAAATTTTTGCTGTAGGGTATGTGCACTCACTGGGGACAGAGAGACAGAGAGACAGAGAGAAAGACAGAAAGCAAGAAAGCATCCCCTGGGGGACTGGCCACACCACAATCCCTTCTCCATTCTCCTCTTGAGATTTTGGGCATGCATGCACATGTGCTGGCATGAGTTTTAAGCCATCAGTCCAGGAGTCGAACTGCGGTTGATTACATGGGAATCCAGCAATGTAACCATTACGCTATCTTCTGGTCCCAAACAAGATACTCTTAAATGATAAGGTGCAGCATTATATAAGCTGATGAGAAATGGATATGCTTATTTAGATACTGCTGTCATAATTGAAAATGATAGATTTCTGGAAAGTCGCTTGGTAAAGGCCTTAAAATCAAAGTATATGTTCCAAAGTACATATATTTTGATATTATAATTAAATATCTAAAAACGTATCTCAAAGAAATACTCAAGGGGCTAGCAGATGGTGTAGTGGTTACGTCGCTGGACTCCCACATGGCCAACCATGATTCGAGTCTCTGACCTAGTGGCTTGAAACTCACGCTGGGCGCATGTGCATTCGTGCCCAAGATCCCAGGAAGGGTGGAAGAGAAGAGATTGTGGCATGACCATTCCCCCGGGAGGTGATTTCTCACTTTCCTTTCATTGTTTCTGTCTCTCTATCTCCAGATAGCACCTGTGGCCCATGGCAAAAAAAAAAAAAGAAGAAATATTCAGAAGATATATGGTACCTAAAAAGATGTTCATAGGCCCAGCTGCAAAGATGTAGTGGTAACACAACCCTCTGCAATACTGAAAGCTACATGGAAGATTGAAATGGAGTTCCTTCGTCAATCTGTACATGTTGGGTACACTTGTGCCAGTAATCCTAAAAGAGACTGTGGGAAGGATTGTGCTGAGAGACCCTGCTGAAGGTGCTTGTCTGTCTGGCGCTTTCTCTCTCTGCCTCTTTTTCATGAAATAAATAAACTGTTAAAAATTATTACAATAACATTAATAGAAAAATACTGTGAACAAATTAGAAGTCTAAAAGTTGAGGATGGCTGGGGCCAGCACCATGGCACTGTGGTAATGCGCTGCTCAAGAGAAGCCAGATTTCACATGACAGTCGTGGTACAAATCCCTGGCTGATCGACCCAAAACAGACTGGGCACACGTTGAGTACCAGGGCTAAAGATTCTGTGCGCTGGAGGACTGGAGGAAGGGCATTGTGACATGACCAGCCACTGTGGAGGGTGTCATCTCTCTCTCTTTCTTCCTAGTTCTCTCTCTCTCACAGGAGTGCACTCATACCCTTCAAGAATAAAGAAAAAAAATCTTTAATAGTGGAGGATGGGTTAAAAAAATGGTATATTAAGCCAACAGAATTTCATGTATGTTTTAAATTTTAAATAGGTCAAATTAAAACTAGAAATAATTTAAAATGGAGTTTTCTTAAAAATGGTATAGTCAATTTTTAATAACACAAAGTTATTCTTGGTAGATCTTTTGAAAAAGTTTTCAATTGCTTAATATAGCACACAGAAAAGGGCAAAAATTGAAATCAATAGTTTAATATATTATTATATATCTTGCCATGATGATGGATTTACCCCTTTTTCCTCGAAGTTCTATCCATTTTTACTTTACTATTCTAAAGTCATGTTATGAGATGCAGAATTGAACATTTAATATTAACATTTTAATATTATAAAGTGACCTCTTTTACCCTCACTGTTGTAACTCTGTAACTCAAATATCATTATTTTTATTATTAATATTTATTAATATTATCAGATATTATTTTCGTATTACACAGTGAATCCAGAGTCACCTACATATTTACCACTTTCTTTATGGGTCCATCTTGAACATAGACCTATCCGGGGTCATTTCCTTCTATCTGAATCGGGTAGAATTTCTTTCGATAAGAAACCACTAGTGGTGAAATATCCTATCCTTGATCTTTGCCTTCATTCTTGAAGGACATTTTTACCTGATATAAGGATTAGGCTGAATTTTTATTTCTTTGTGCATATTGACAATATCACTCCACTATCTCCAAGCTTCCATTACTGCAGTTCTTTTGAAAGTGATCTCTCATTTTTCTTTGGTTGCTTTTAAGGTTTTATCTTTGCTTCTTATTCTGCAGTCTTACTCTGATGCATCTAGGTGTAGATTTCCTTTAATTTATAGTGCTTAGGTTAGGCTTTACTAAATTGGAATTCATTTGGGCCTCTCAAATCTGTAGATTGTTGTTCCTCATTGCTTTTGTACAATTCTCAGCAATTAAAAATTTTTTTTGTTTGTTTGTTTGTGTTTTGATATAGGGTGAGTACACTTGCTAGAGAGACAGAGAGACAGAAAGTGAGAAATCACGTGCCCAGGGGGTGCCCATGCCACAATCCCTTCTCCTCTGGGGATTTTGGACACACACACACACACACGCACATGAGGGCAGCATGAGTTTCAAATCACTGGGTCTGGGACTCGAACTATAGTCAGCTATGTGGAAGTCCAGTATCATAACCACTACGCCACCTACTGGTCCCCACCTACCATAATTTCTATAAGAAGTCCACCTGAATTATCTCATGAAATCTCTTTATGTGATTTTTTTATTTCTTGCTACCTTCAAGATTCTCTCTTCATCTCTGGCTTTCAGCAGATTGACTAGAACATGCTTGGATGAAGTGTTTTTCTGTTTATCCTACAGAGGATTCACTGAAATTCTCAGATCTGAGAGTTAATATTTTCCATCAGATATGCCAAGATTTCAGTCAGTTTTTCCAATTTTTTTTTTTCCTGATCAATTTTTTTCCTCCTCACCTCCTGAGACTCCATCTACACATTTGTGAAATACTTATTTTTCCACAAATCTGAGGCTCTGGTCATTTTGCTCCAGAATTTTTTCTCTCTGTTCTTTGTATTGGTTAATTTATATTAATTTACAATGAATCATTTTCAATTTTTCAAAATCTTTTGTGCTCTCAGATCTGTGGTCTAGCTCATTTAGTGAATGTTTCCTTCACTTACTGTACTTTTCAACTACAGAATTACTAAGTTCTGTCTTTGAAGTTTCCGATTTTTTGAGATTTACTCTTTGTTGGGTCAAAGGTTTTCTTTTTATGTGTGTGTGTGTGCGCCATATTTACAACAGTTGCTTCATCTAACTTCTCTAAATCCAACATTTATGCTTACTTGATACCTGCTTATTGAGGTTTTTTTTTTTTTTTAGTATAAATCCTTTTTCTGTTTCTGCACATCTAATACTTTTGAGGCAGAAGCAGAACGTTGTATATGAGGTATTATAGAAACTCTGGGTTTTGTTTTACTCTTCTGAGGGTGTTGGTTTACTGGTGTGTTAGTTAATTAAAGTGGGCTGCCCTCAAACTCTGAAATACATCCTTCCACACTGTGTAGTCACTAACGTCTCTGCTCAGTTTCATTTTGTTTAGTCTGGCTTCCTAGAGAACATCCACTGTAACTGCACAAGAGAGCTGCCAGTAAATAACCTGAGGAAAGGTTCTGCACAAATGCCTCAAGTCAGTAAGGTTTATTACAAAACTCCTCTTTTGCTGCCTAAGTTGTGTGCAGCCTGAAAAATACAGTAAAAGTCATAGTAAGTTCACAGGTCTCTCTGAGCTTTTAGGTCTTACTGAAAATATATACAATAGACACTCTCTGGCATCAACTGTATTGTAGAGTTTAGCAGTCAGCCAGAGTTGCCGGAAGAAGTTATTATGTCAGCTCCTCTATGGCCCTTGGCTTCCACAATATTCCCCTTCAATTTCTACTATCTCCACTACCTACTCTGAATCAAAACCACCACCTGTAGTCAGTAAAGCTGTAGGTTTTTCCTGCCCAAGGTGGAGAGCAGGGAGAAGGCAACACCTACTATCTACTCCCTAAGCAAAAAAGTCAGAAATTTGCCATTCTTTCCCAATGCATCACTAAACACCTCTCAAACTGTTGCTTCATTTTTGTTTTCTAGGGCCCTAATATGGTTGCTATTAATAACTATTCAACTTGTTCAATTATGTATTTGTTTTCTGTGAAATGGAATTGTCCGTTCTCTTAACGGACGTTTGTTGGAAGTGGAGTCCTGCCTATTTTCTTTTAGAGTAGATATCAATGTTGCTATTTCACGCCACCCCCATACACACTCACACATACTAACCTCCTAATATACTTAATGTATTACATCATAACTTTGGTTAAATGAATATTCAGTGTTTACATTATGATTATCATAAGGATCCCATAGATATGTTTCCTTTCTTGTTCAATCTTTTGTTTTTCCTGCAATGAATAATTTTTTTTTTTCCTCATGAGTTTAGTTTCCTAAGAACCTTTAGCTAATTCTTTGCATATGATGCATAATTCTTTGCATATGATATGGCTTTTCTCAAGATTTGTTACATGTGGTCAAACAAATCAAAGAATTTTTTTTTGAGAGGTTTTTGCTACAGGGTGCACGTTTTCACCAGAAAGAGAGAGACAGAGAGACAGAAAGCGAGAAATCATCCCCCAGGAGGGATGGCCATGCCGCAATCTCTTCTCCTCCATTCTCCTCTCAGGATCTTGGGCAGGCAAGCGCATGTGCCTGGTGTGAGTTTTAAGCCACCGAATTCGGGACTCGAACTGCAGTCAACTACATGGGAGTTCAGCAACATAGCTATTATGCTAACTGCTGGTCCCAAGAATTTTTAATTATGCTCTATAACTGAAAAGTCTTTACTGCAATCTTCTCTCCCCTTGCTTTAATCCATCTGTTATTCTTTAGGTCTGCTACACAGCCCTCACTCGGGGACTTCCCTGTCTTGCTCTCTTATACAGAATAATCTGTTTCCCCAATCCCATGTAATCCCTTTGTGGATTAAATCTTTGATTTCCAAGATGTATATCCTAGGGTAGCTCCCCAAGGATATTATACCCTTTGAGGTCTAGGCTTTGAAACTTTGTTACTTCCAAAAGAGCATATATTATCTTCATATTTGACTAGTGACTTATCTAGAATTCTGGGTTGAAAACTTTTTCCTTCCACATCATAAAGGCATTGCTTCACTGTAGTTCAGCTTTATTTATTTTTAAAGACAGAGAATTGTTACGTTATGATCCTCCTGCTTCAGCCTAAGTAAATGGGACTACAGTCACACATGGCTTTTCAGGCTGGGCCAGGAATGAAACCTGGGCCTCCCATGTGGCCTCAGCATGCCAAGCAGCAGCAAATTACCAGTATGCACCACCATGGCTAGGCCACTGTCTCTAGCTTTCAGCTGTGCTGTCAAGATCAATGCTATCCTAATTCTGAATCCATCGCACACTGCTTTTTTCCCTCTGGAAGCTTAATTTTTGGTGTTCTGACATTACTCAGTGACATGACCTAGAGTGGCTTTCCTTCCATCTCTCCATTCGTTACACTGGGTAGTTGGTGGGCACTTTTGGTTGAGAAATTGAAGTCTTGGCTCTGGAAAATACTCTTGTAATGTGTTTTTTTACAATATTGTTTCTTGATAATTTCATATATCCTGTTATCTCTATTTGCTTTTTAAGGCCTCGATTCATTCATTCACTCAAAAATGCAAGGGTACATCAAAAAGCTTGTAGGAAAATGGAATTCAGAGAATGAGTTTATTTTGGTGCAAAAAAGTTTTGAAATCCATGAATAATTTTTTTCATAATATAATTTCTCATGAACTTTTGAAAGATCTTTTTTTACTGGGTGCTAAAGTTACAGGAATAAACCAGATAAAGAATGTCCCTATCAGGACCAGCAGTTGGCATAATGGCTATGTCGCTGGACTCCCATGTAGTCGACCATGGCTCAAGTCCCGGACCCAGCGGCTTAAACTCACACCGGGCATGTGTGTGTGCATGCCCAAGATCCCAAGAAGAGATAGGAGGAGAAGGGAAGAGCACACATGCCCTATAGCAAATTCTTCTCCAAAGGAAAAGAAAAAGCAATCATTCATCACCCATAAAGCTAACACAGCATGTTACAGCTGTGTACACATTTTAAATCATGTCTTTAAATAGTAATGCATTTTAATTATTAGAATTTTCTTTATCATGTTTTAAAGTAATATAGAGTTTATGGGGCAGCAGATAGTACAGCAGTTACTTCACTGGACTCCCACATGGCTGAGTGTGGTTTGAATCCTGGACCTGGTGGCTTAAAGCTCATGCTGAGCACATGTGTGTGCATGCCCCAAATCCATTCGTACTCAAGATTCTGGGAGAAGAATGGAGGAGAAGGGATTGTGGTGTGGCCATCCCCACTGGGGGGTGATTTCTCACTTTCCCTCTCACTGTCTCTGTGTGTCTCTCTCTGGTAAGTGCACACATCCTAAGGCAAAAACCTCTTTAAAAAAAAGTATAGAGTTTACAAAAAATATTAATACTATTAGGAAAAAGGAATAAGAAACAAAGTCTAAAACTCAGAATATGCTGGGACCAGCAGATGGCATAATGGCTATGTCACTGGACTCCCACGTAGTCGACTGCAGTTCACAGTTCAAGTTTTGAACCTGGTGGCTTAAAATTTATGCCGGCAGGTGTGTGTGTATGCCCTAAATCCCAAGGAGAATTGACAGCAGTGTGGCCGTGCCCCCTGGGAGGTGATTTCTCACTTTCTGTATCTCTGTCTCTCTAGTAAGTGTAAACGCCCTACAGCAAAAATCTCTCTCTTAAGCAAACAACAAACAAACCTCAGAATACGTTTTCTTCCATTTCAACAGGACCTATGCCTAGTTTCAAAATGCAGTCCTAAGATATTTGGCAGCCAAGAAAAGCAACTTTTACATCTCTAGGCACCAATTCTTCTGACTGAGATGTTATAATAAGAAAAAGACTCCAGCTTTCTTTAGGACAGGCCCACGAGCAAACTCAATACTATTGCTTTAGAGGTATAGAAGGGGTATGTAGCACTAAAAATGATCCAACTTCTAATGCTTCAGACTCAGTACTGTGTACTTATAAAGGTCAAAATGTACCAACTTCTTGGTATATTCTTCCTCATTATATATTACTTGCATTCTATTTTGAAAAGCATCAGTTTTATACCATATATAAATAATCTATCTTTCCTATATATACTTACTATAAAACCTTCCTGGCTTTTAAACAACATGGCACTCATTTTGGCTTTTTGTTTTGAAATTCTTACCTGATGACATGGTCTCTCCCAAGATTACCTTGCAACGCTCACAAATTACTTTGGTATTTGCCTTTGGTACCTGTAAAACAGAAAAAATGTCATTTAAATGTCATTCAGCTTTTTTAAAAAGGAATATATAATTTTAACATAGTCCCTAGAGTATACATTGAACTTTACATTTTATTCTGCCCTCTACTAAATACTGGGAATACATTTAGCTTGTATGCATAATTCACACGCACAGAGATCATGCTGTTCAAGTCTTAGACGGGATAATGTGCAGACTCACTTTTCAAAATCTAGTCACCACCTGATAATCAAATATTGCCAATGCTGAACAAGAAGCACCTGATATTTCTAGAGAACACTTCCAAATAGTTTACAATTTACAACAGGCTGACGGTGGGCAACTAAAGCAGAGAGGACGGGTGACGTGCCCCAACTCGTGTATGGAATACAAAAGATTCAGAACTTATATTGTTTTGACACCAAGTTCAATGTAATTTATATAAAAGTAATGTATAAGCCACCCATAATTCAGAAGATAAAAATATCTAACCTGATCATATAATTCTATTATTTTTTCCCCGTTTAAGATATGCACTGTTACTGGAAAGATAGAAATGTGCTAGGACAAATCTTAAAACATTTTTATATTTCAAAAGTCCAAATTCATTATGTGTGCTAGAGTAAAATAGCTAGTATTCACCTGATCATTAAACAAAGAACGCTCCTTTTTACATCCATAGTAGTACTTTATAAAAGCCATACGGCATCCTCCTCACCCAGATATACTGCAACACGGCCTAAGCCAAGTGAAACTGGGAGGGGAAAGGAAGTTCTCCAGTCCTCCTTCTAGGAAACCACAAACTAGAGAGCAGGTCAAAGTTAGAACAGATATCAACTTTCTGATGAGGGGTAACATGGATAATCTAAGGAATAAGTCTTTACTAATTACTCTAAGTTTGAGTACAGTTATTTTTCCCTTGACATAAATAACTATTCCTTTTTTTTTTTTTTTTTTTTTTTTTTTTTTTATAAAGAGGTTTTTACCTTAGGGCATATATGCTCACCAGAGAGAGAGAGAGACAGTGAGAGGGCAAATGAGAAATTGCCCCTGAATGGGGATGACCACACTGCAATCCCTTCTCCTCCATTCTCCTCCCAGGATCTTGGGCATGCACTCACAGGTGCCCAGTGTTGGTTTCAAGCCACCAGGTCCAGGACTCAAACCATGATCAGCCATGTGGGAATTCAGAGACTTAATTGCTATACCATCTGCTGGCCCCGCATAAATAGCAATTTCCTAAAAAGCTGCATTAAGAAGCACATTTCCGTTGAGTTCATGGATGTGTTGCCAGTACTAATTGATAGAACTAATATTGGAATCCAGGTCCCTGAAATGCTAAAGCTTGTGCTTTTCAGCACTATGCTAAGTGTTTCCAAACTACAGGTCTCACACCATTAATGGGAACCAACTTCTGGAATCAATTCAGTGGGTTATAGGTTGCATTTTTAAAAATTCAAAAAAACAACACAACATGCCAGCAGATGACATGGTGGTTAAGGTGCTAGATTGGCCAATGGGTCTGGCTTGAGTCCCAGATCCAGCAACTTGAAAATCATAAAATAGAGGAGAAAAAATTGTAGTACGGCCATCCCCTCTGGGGTTGACTTCTTATTTTCTCTGTCTCTCTCCAGTGAGCACATGTGCCCTATGGCAGAAAACAAAAACATCAAATAAATAACACAATTGAAAATATGACAGTAGGCTGGCCCTGTAGCCTAGTGAGTATGAGAGCCAGGTTCCACATACACAACCATGGTTCAAATCCTGGCCCCAGTGGCTTGAGAAACATGTTGGGCACATGTGTGTACATGCTCAGAATCCAACAGGATAGAGAAATAAAGGAGAAGGGATTGTGGCATGACCCATGCCCCCTGGGGGTATGTTCTCTCTTTCTCTGCAAGCATATGCTTCCTCTGACAAATAAAAGAAGAAAATATGAAAATGCTTCAGACACTAGGTATTACTTTAAGAAACTTACACCTAAGATGTGTTTGTTCCTGTGTGCATTTTGTGTGTGTGTGTGTGTGTTATCAGATCTGAATGTAAAAAAATGCATTTCTAACTTTAGTTAGAGGTCAAAAGGTCAAAAGCAACTGTATACCATATATTGGAATCTTAATTCATTCTTTCATTCAGCCTCAAACCCACACTACTAGTAAAAATCCATAAACACTCCACCATTCTTCCCCCTGTGAAGGACTCCTGAGATGAATTCTTCAAACACTGAAGAAGCCGGTAGTTATACAAACACTTCTGCTGTTTTCCTTTAGCCTAGCAGTAGGATTTGGATAGATTCTTCAATTTTTCTCTGAGTCTCTGCTGAGGACACAGAAGTACACCTGAGCTCCTTAAGTCAGCTCAGGCCTGGCTGTAACATTAATCCAGTCACACTCACAACATGGGCCCCCAGAGCGAGCCATCTCTGGCAGACTTAGAATCTGATCAATAAGGGCTGGCAGGTGGTGTGAAGGTGAAGGTGTCTGGATCCCACATGGCCGACTTTGCGGTTAGAGTCCCAGACCTGGTGGCTTGAAAACCATGCTGGCACATGTGTGTGCATGCCCAAAATTCTGACAGAAGAGTAGAGGAAAAGGGATTGAGGTGTGACAATCTCCCTTGGGGAGTGATTTCTCACTCTCCTAGCAGTCTGTCTCTCTCCAGTGAGCACATCTGCCCTATTGTCAAAAAAGAAAAAAAAAAAAAAGAAAGAAAGAAAGAAAAGAAACAGAACAAAACAAAACTAAATAAAAACCTGATGACCTTGGGACCAACAGATAGGCATAGTGGTTACATCGATGGACTCCCACATGGCCAATTGCAGCTCAAGTCCCAGATTCAGAGGGTTGAAACTCACACTGGGCAATTGTGCATGTATGCCCAAAATCTTGAGAGGAGAATGAAGGAGAGGGGATTGCAGCATGATCATCCCTACTGTGGGGTGATTTCTTGCGTTCTATCACTTTGACTTTCTCTGCCTCTCTGGAGAGTGCATGTGCCCTGTAGCAAAAATCTTTCTAAAAGAAAAAGAAATATCCATCACCTCAAGCAACCAAATGTAGGGATCCTGATTCAAACTAACCTACAGTGAAGGATACTTTTAAGACAATTGGTAAAATGTGCGTAGGGCCTGACATTGTATCATCCAGGAATATTAATTTTATCAGATGTGATGAAGACAGTATGGTTACCTTTTTAAAATGCATGTTTTGGGGGACTGATCTATATGGGGGTGTTGCTGATTCACAACCAGAGACTTCCCTGAGTATACCAGGTATGTGCATGTCCATGAGTGAGACTGCTTGAAACTGAAGGTAGAACAGGACATCAGGATCCTGGTAGGTGTACTATGTCTCTGTCCTTCTCATTCAAGGAATAAACAAACTTTAAAAAATTGATACATTTATACATACACAAAGAGATACACAAGGATTAAATGATATAATGACTAGGATTTGCTTCAAAGAACTTCAGTGAAAGCAAAAAAAAAGGACAGATGAAGTATACTTAGTGAATAAAGTATACTTAGTGACTGGCATACTGAAGTTCATAATATTATTTCTTTTATACTTGTGGATGCTGACAAAGTATAACACATTTTTCTAAGTAGAAAAAAAGACATACTTAGGATGTAATAAAACAAATTACCAAAACCAATACAATGATTAATAAGTACCCCAGGAAAGAAAACAATGGTAAAGCTGTTAGTCATGTTTACAATACTAGCAGGAATATAGTCAAAGTTCAGTTTTGCTTGTTCTTTAAAAAACAGAATGAAAGTCCAGTGGCTATAGGACAGTAGTACTGCAAAGGCCCTGCAGGGCTGGAGGCCATATGGTCAACCATGGATTCGAATGCCAGGACTGGCTTGAAAGCACACCAGGCATATGCATAAGGGTAGCCAAGATGCTGCAGAGTTAGAGGGCTGGGGAAAGAAGATCATAAGAGACCTTGTTTGAGTGCTTCTTACTCGCCCCCTCACTCTCTGCCTCATAAGAGCGGCATCCTCCAATAGGGTATGGTCACACCACAATTCCTTCTCCATTCCTCTATCCTGTTGGGATTTGGGGCTTGCACACACATGGGCCTGGTATGTTTCTCAAGCCACCAGGGTTGGGATTTGAATTGTGGTCAGCCATGTGAAATCTGGCTCCCTAAATAACTAAGCTATGCAGCCAATCCTTTTTTTATTTTTTTAATTTTATTTATTTCTTTTATAAGTGAGAGAGAAAGAGAAAAAAAACAGCATCCCCAACAGGGCCCTGATGCATTGATCCAACCCCAGCTTTAGCCAGCCCTGAATCACAGGCACACACATGATCAGCATATTCAGGGCAGACTCCAGATGCAATTTTGGAATCTTTTCATGTGGGTCAGCATTGCAGGGCATTGAATTTTACTGTGCTAGAGTGTGGCTATACTCTCTAAATATTGGACAACATTATGAATCTTATAAAATGCTGAGGTGCCATCTTTATCATCCTATTATAAGATGCAAAACTTTTATTAGGTTGGTAGGCAGCAGAAATAGCACAAGACATGACAAATGAATACAAGAACTGGTAAATATTTAGCAGATATCTTTTGAAAATATAAAGTACTGCACTGATAGAGACATAAATAAAATACTGGACTGTAAACTCTAAGCTAAGAGGGTATTCAAAGAATGTAATAATGTCAAGTTTTATGTTTGTGCTGTTCTTAAAATCTGATCTTTTTAATTAAAATATTACAACATGCTAATTTTGCTGAAAGAGAATTGCTGCTTTGCAATGCATTTCTCTTCACGAAAATAATAAAGAAAGTTGTGCAACGAAGCAGCCTAATAACGTGGGAACACTACAGAACAAACCTCAAAGAAGGACTTGTTGTGGGCTAATTAAATCAATATATCTGAGAGATAGCACTGCTGCTCAGAGAGGTAGCTTAGCCTCCTGTCCTCATTTTTATTTTCTTTCATGTTGTTTCAATTTCTGAGGACCCTTGATATTGTCTCGCCAAAAAAATGTTTCCCAAGAGATACCATTAGGATGCTGTGTCACCATGTGACATTTCAAAACCCAGCTAGATGACTAGACTGGGTGATATGAGAAATAGGTTTTCAATAGCACAGTGCGGCCTTGTTCCCACAGGAGCCTTGAGAGCACTGTTTAAGCAGTCCCTCCAAATTTATGTTGCTATTTCGGTCACAGGAACTGCTACAATATGCAATTAAAGTGAAACTTCCATCTAGAGTAACTTGAAAACAATCTTGTCAACAGCATCTTGTCATGATAATTTCCCACAGTTGCCTCGATACTCAAATACTCAAAACTACCCTGTCTGAATATGAAGGGACTTCCTTTAACATAGACAATGGTTATTTACAATGAAGAGCTGTCCTTGCAAATGGCATCACATAACTGATAAAGGTGTAGCTGTAAAAAATGTTATTTCAGCAGAGTGCAGAGTTTACCTAAAAGGGGAAATGTGGTTTTTCCTATTTAATCTTTCTCCATTCCCTTTTCACTCATGCCTTCCCAAAACTGTATAGCTTAGTCATAAAAATAGAAATTAAAACATACAAAATAATGTATAAATATATTAGGTTGTCAGGAAAGTCATGATATATTTTTCTATACAAAAATGAGTCATGACTTTCCCAATGACCCAATACATATTTAGGTTAAAGTATAAATCTAGTCATATTAAATAGAACTATAGCATAAATGTACATTAACTTTTTTATCATTTGACTTTTAAAGATATAGAATGCTAAAACACCACCACTTAAAGTGAATCATATTTGGGACCAGCAGTTGGAGTAATGGCTATGTCGCTGGACTCCCACATAGTCGATCGTGGTTCGAGTCCCGGACCCGGTGGCTCAAACTCACGCCGGGTGCGTGTGCGTGCGTGCCCAAGATCCCGAGAGGAGAATGGAGGAGAAGGGATTGCAGCATGGCTATCCCCCCTGGGGAGTGATTTCTCACTTTCTGTCTCTCTGTCTCTCTCTATCTGTCTGGCGAGCACACGCACCCTATAGCAAAAACTGCTCCAAAAAAAAAAGGAAAAAAAATAATAATAAAAAAAAATAAAGTGAACCATATTTACCAGGAGAAAAAGGAATTTTTATTATGGCAAGAGGTGAGGCACTTGAATTATTTTAACTGACAATTTAACTTCAATACTTGAAGAGTTTCCTTAATTTCCCTCAAAATAGGTCTATAAACTAATTTGCAACCTAAGAGCTGCTTAACTGCTGCACATTTCCTACAGTAACTCAGTGTTCATTAGAAAAATTAAATGAGTTCAAAATGAAATTTTAAATACAATGTTTTTGTTCCTATCAATATCAGATGTTAAAACAAAGACTCTCTGGCAATGATTTTCCTAACTTTTTAAATCATCAAGGGAATGACTTCTTACAAGGGCCAGGCCAATGCCATTGATTTTCTTTTAAAATCAAGTAAACCACTTGTTCTCTGCAGTGATAGAAAATTGTCTTCTCCCAAAAGCAACATATATAGCAAGAACCATCTATCCGCATGTTGTCCAGCACCAACTTAGATCCTGCAACTGGAGCTTTATTTCCATTCCTGGGCTCTTCCATTTTGTCTTTCTCCCTGATGGCATTTGCTTTTATGCATCAGCAAAAGACTACAGGAAGACACACTGAAATGCTTAGGTCCTGGAGCAGGGATATCTGCTATGTAAATCGTTATGGCATTTAAATCAGACTATTGAGGAAAAAATATACAGATTATGGAATATGTCCCACAAACAAGAACATAGGACACTGGGGCGTGAGAAATGATAGCAAGCCTAGTTCTATGCTGGAAGTCTTCTTTCTCCTTATTTCTCCAGCCCCCTGTGGCTGTTCTATTGCAGTTAAGGCCATATGCTTTTTCTACATTCCCAGAGCAGAGTTAGAGAACACAACAGTAGTTGAAAAAGTGGGTTTGGGCTTGAGTGGTCTGTGTAACAAGACCTGAATTAGAAAATGATTAGAATCAGTGTCTAAGACATCTTCTAACTTAGCATTTAAATTATTTTGAAAGATATTTTACCGATTTAAAATGGTTCTCAGAAGAAAGACAGTGCATCTCCACTGGGGCTAGTTCAGGTCTTGGCTGCCGCAAATTGCTTCTTAAATTCACCAAGAAGAAAGTGTCTCCAATAAAGCAGTCATTCTCTTGTGGATGAAGTGGCTTATTAGCAAAAGGGTCTGGGTGACAACACCATTCTTCAACTAGAGCTCCCCAGTTCTCACTTGGCAACGGGAGCACCCTGAGGAGTTTCCTAGTGGAAAGAGGGAAAACTATTTTTCAAGGAACAAAATGGAACATTTTCTTCATTGAATCAGCATGAAACATAAGAAAGACTAATTAATTACACAGTTTGCAATGTTAGTTTTCCCCCAATTATAAAAGTAATATATACTCTCTATAGACATTTTTGAAAATGCAGAGGTGTAACAAAAACAAAAACTATCCTTTTATCATTACTCAAAAATCAGTAACTACTTTTTTATACAAGGTACATTTCTTTTCTATCTTTTCAAGAGACATATTTGTACATATGCACATGAAATCTGGGATCAGAGGATATACATAAACTTGCTTTTATTATTTTATTTAGTTACATGATGATTCACAATGACTCTACAACTTCTTATTTCATAGGTACATCAAAAATTTTTAGATAATTTTCTCACTATTGAATTATATAGGATTTTGAGTTGTTTGGTTATCACTAACTCTGTGGGGAATATTCCTATTAGAAAATTTGTGTACAGCTGATGATTAAGTGTGAGGTTATAAGCATAAATTATATGCATATTTTTAAACCTAGAACCCAACTGGTAAACTTCATTGCAAACAGGTAGTACCAATCTATAATTTTCTCACGTACCTTTTTCATAATTGAATACAAATGGACTTCAAAAGTTTGTGGGAAAATATCAGGTTGTCTGGAAAGTCATGACCTATTTTTCTATGCAAAAATCTATGTCATGGGACCAGCATTTGGCGTAATGGCTATGTTGCTGGACTCCCATGTAGTGACCGCAGTTCGAATCCCAGACCCAGTGGTTTAAACTCACACTGGGCATGTGTGCGTGCGTGCCCAAGATCCTGAGAAGAGAATGGAGGAAAAAAGGAATTGTGGCATGGCCATCCTCCCTGGGGGTATATATATATATGTGTGTGTGTGTGTGTGTGTGTGTGTGTGTGTGTGATGACTTTCCTGACAATTCAATAGAATTAAAGTATGAGTTTATTTTGGTGCAAAATTTTTTAAATTCATAGTTTTTTTCATAATATGCATTGAAAATGAACTTTCTGAAGACACTTTCATACTATCATTTTTCCATCTTTTTCAAGTAATAGGCGAAAATATTCTCAATGCTGCTTTAGTTGGCAATGCTTAAATTACTGGTGATATTGAATTGGTTTTCCTATTTATTGACCACTGTGACTCTTCTGTGAATTATAATCAATGACTATTTTCCAGTGAGGTTTTAGTATGTTATTAACACAGTAACAGTATTTTCTACACTAAGTTATAGCCACTTGTCTATCATCTGTAACAAATACTTTTTCAGTGTTGTTGCCTTTTAAATAGGTTTACATGTCTTAAATTTCAGATAATGAACACATTCTTCTGTGATATCATCTGTTACTATATTCTAATAAATTTATTTTGAAATAATTTTAGACTTACAGAAGCTACACAGATAGTACAGATAGTTCATGTACATGCTCCATCCAGCTTTCCTTGTGGTTCATATCTTCCATAACCATGGTTGATTTGCCAAAACTACAGATTTTACATGGATTTCACCAGTCTTTCTAGCAATGTCCTTGTTTTCCTTCCTGGGATCCAATCCATCACACGCTGCTCTTAGACATAACTTAGTCTCCCCTGAGTTTCTCAGTTTTTCCTTATTTTTCAGGGCTTTGAAATTTTTCACAAATACTGGTCAGGTATCTTATAGGATGTTCCCCAATCTGAGTTTGTCCGATATTATCCCAGACTAGACTGGGTTATAGGTTTGGAGGAAGAATCCCACGGATGTGAGTGTCTTCATCCGGTTACATCATGTCAGAGGGTCTATCTCAACATGACTTATCATGAGTGATGTTAACTTGATCGCCTGGCTAAGGTGATATCTAGTATAGGTTTCTCCTCTAATAAAATAATAGCATATTAATGTATGTTTACTTGTATTAAGTTAAAATACACAAGGTGTGGATGTATCACTTTTTATCCAGGTAATAAAAGTAACTAAAGGCATCACAGAAGAAATACTGGGTCGTCAGGAAAGTCACAACGCATTTTTGCATAGAAAAACATGTCATGACTTTCCTGACGACCTAATAATATGAAGGAAGGGGCCTATCTGTTTATCTTACCACTGTATTTTTAGTGTCTGACAATTCCTGACTTAAAGTATGGGCTCTTAAAATACTTGCCAAAGGAAAAAGCTAACATATTTTGATAGCTCTACCATGTGAGGCCCTTTGTTGGATCTGCTTTTACACTCTGACGAGAGAGTTAGCAAACCTCTTCCTTTGCTGCTTGAGAATGTGACCTTTGCTTTAACCATCTAGCTCTGTTACCCTGGAAACCAGGTAAGATCATAGGAATCAGCTACATCGCTAGGCAACACTGCTTACAGTAAAAAGAATCCCTGATTGGTAAATTGCATCTGGACCAGGAAGAACTGTTAATGAACAATAAATATCTGAAGAGCATGCTATGTTTCGAGCTTCCCTGAATGCAGTCTCTGGTGAGGAACCCTAAAACTACACCAAAGAACTGTCTGCTTAAGCTAGGGCAGCAACTCCACCTGGCAGATGTGGACCTTGTGCTTTGTACCTGGGACTGTGTCACATGGAGAGACAAGAAATGCCCAGTTAAGTACATGAGCCATCACTTGCATGAACTGCTGTGGAGTCCCTGCTAAGTGGAATTCTTGACATTGCCATGCTAGCAAGCTGGTAAGAAATGTTGCCATGGTAGTCTAGTGACTCATATTTAGCTGAATTTAAGGTAACCCCTGGTGGTCACTACACTCACCTTACACCATTTTCAATTCTGTAAGATAAGAATTACCATTCTGTTACAAAAGAGGAAAGTGAGGCTGAGAAATGCTAAATTATGTGCGCATTCACAGATTCAGAAGTGGTAAGTAATAAATGCCAAGCTCTGATCCCAGGTCTTTTGGGATCCAGAACTAACCTCTTTCTCTCCCCTGGCAACGTAGAATAGCAGGTGAGGCCAAGCAGGCTGGATGGTGGCAAATGGTGTGGGGTGCTACAAGCCATGGCAAGGGGTAGGAACTTGCTCCTACAAACAGGTGGGAAGCAGTATAGAATTTTGAGCAGGAAAGTGACAGGTCAGATGTCAATATTTACTACAAAGAGGAAAATACAAACAAGGTATCTGTTTAGAGTGGGAATTAGGCCCAAACGGGCTCCTGGGCCTTCTCCATAGTGAAGATCTTCCGTTTCCTGGCATTCTGCATGGAGTGCCAATAACCAGACTCTCAATATGGGGTAAAAGACTGCAATGTTGAAATCTCCCAAGTGATCAAGGAAATGAAAACTGCACCAAGATCTTGAGAGATCTGGAAGACTTAATGCACATTAAAACAAAATATGGTATTTCAAACTTAATGCCATATCATAGTGAATAAAAGGTAGTATATCCTATAACCATCAATATAAGACATCAGGAGCAAGAAAGGGCCTCATTCACAAGTCATTGCAGACATAAAAACGTCTTTATAACAGAAAGATTTTTTCTGATATTATGAAGAAAAAATAAAACCTTTAACAACAAAAGGTGTATTTTAATCACAGCTCTACTGAAAGTCTATCTATCTAAAAGCCTGAAAAGCAAGCTTTGATATGAAATGCTTCCCAAGAGAACTTTGAAAATAAAATAATACCATTTGTTCAAGGTAGTTTTTAACATAAAAACCTGCTATAGCTCAAATAAAGAGTGAAATGATTTCTTGAATTTTCATTCTGCTTAAGATTTTATGATACATAGCAATAGAGTTTATAATAAATTAAAATTTGCTAGCCATTTTTAATGTATCATGAGCATAAATTTTGGGGAAATAATAACTTAAACTATACGACCTTAAAAATATCATCGATTGCTATTTTATTTAATACTAAGTATATACACAAGAAAATTAACGTCCTCCAAATTTAAAATAAAAATAAACCATTATTCACTAGTAATAGCAATGGAAATAACATAAATTCTAACGACTGCATTATAACCAAGTGAACATTAAGAATCTTAAGAATACCATCAAATATCTAAAGGTCAAAATATGAGTGCCGGAATTTAGATAAATTCAGGTGACATTCTCCAACTAGCACACTATAAATTCTATAAAACTAGCTTTGCATTTTAATTTTATTATGTACATAGTATAATTAGATTCATAAATGTATAATAATTTTATTCAAAAAGTTCATACAATGTTAACCAATGCCCTGGCTTGAGCCTGCCCTCTTTTTTAACCTCTTTGTTTTATTTTATAGAAAAGTGACTGTATTCACAAGAGTAGTTATTTTCAGAATACAGTTACAGCTGGTCTGCCAACTGGACCAATCAAGTGCCTGGATATTGGACGTCTCATGTTTCCGTAAAGCCCAGCCTGATGGTTTCCATCTAGAGTCTCAGTGTTCTCATGAGCTCCAGGCTGACATTCGGCATGGCCAGCACGGGCAGAACAGGGAGGGTGGGTTTAGAGGCTTCAGGAGAGCGCTTTGCTTCAAACAATCTAAAAATCAAAAGCCTTGGATTTGAAAGTCTGTTTGGCTGATGTCACTCAAGTCTGACATGAATTAATTTCTAGAAAATACAAAAATACAAATTCCAAACACAATATCATCTGATTGTTTCTGAGACTATTCACAAAGTAAGTTTTATTATTGTTTGATATTAGGGCATGTGAGTCTCAATAAGAGTATATTCATAAATTACATGTTTTCAGACCAACTTTACATAAAAATGTAAATTGGGGAGTCAGGAGATGGTATAGCAGTTACATCACTGGACTCCCATATGGCCAACCACAGTTCAAGTCCTGGACCCAATGGCTTGCGACTCGCACTGAGTATGTGTGCATGCGTGTCCAAGATCCTAGGAGAACAGAGGAGAAGGGGTTGTGGTGTGGCCATCCCTGCTTGGAAGGTGATTTCTCACTTTCCCTCTTACTGTCTCTCTCTCTCCAGTGAGTGCATGTGCCCTAAGGCAAAAACCTCTTTAAAAGATGTAAATTGGAAAATTTTATTCTAAAGAAACAAGGCATTGTTTATTCTCAAATAACTGAAACAAATGGCTAGGAATATGTGACCCACGCACCTAGATGTCATGTGTCCTGGTACTAAATATTAAAAACCTGCCTTACTGGGTAAAACTATTCTCTGTACCTCATTTCAATAATTCACTTGACAAGAACCTCTGTCATTAAAAAAGAAAAGGAACAAGCATTAGACATGTACTAATCTAATAATCATGAATCACAGAAACCCAGAGTATAGCTTCATGAGGTTCACAGATCAGAATTTTCATAATGATAGAATTCTTTGAGGTTTATTGAACCCAACTTTCCCATCTTATAGATGAGGAAACTGAGGCCCAGGGAATAAAGTAATTTGTGCACAGATAATGAGACTAGTTGGGAAAAAGATCCTAACTCTGCCCCCACTGCTGCTATTACAGGAGGTCCTGGTACAGAGAAACATGTTCCAGGATACCGTCCTAGAAAGATGTTTATAAATAGTTGATTTTGATTACAGTACATATAAACTCTTTTAATATGCTTTGGTCTTATTTTCAATTCCGTAAGCACAGATGCCCTTATTGCTTCCATGAAACAGGTAACTGAGAGAGAAACTGAAGACCCTTGGGTTTGATATGGTCAACAGGAAGTCCAGTGCAGGGATCATATTTTTTCCATAAAACGAAAATCATGGGGCACACTGCCTGAGAGTGAAGCAAAGCCTCGAGTCCTTTCCCAGGGGTTTCTCTGCATGACCCAAGAGGCGGACACATGCTGGACACACAGGTGTGATAGGGACAGGCTTTCGTAAGCCTTGATTCAACGGGCTAGGGCTAAATCAAGGCTGCTTTATCATCTCCGAGAGGAAAAGGAAGAAGGGAGATTCATTTTCCTGGTGTATGCAGAGTATGCAAACCAGAGTACTGAAACAAAAAGGTCTGAAACACCGAAGTAGATCATTTGTGAATTTGTTAATGAGAACAATTTAGAGAAGGGGGGTAAACAGAGTATGTAAAGCCAATTGAAAAGAACTTATTGAATATTATTATTATGTTACAACCTTTACTTTTCTTGACCTGTTTGGAAGATAGGCTTTAAGAGAAGAAGCTGAGGGGGTACAAACAAGGTTCTCCAGCTACAAGTGGTGTGCGTGGAGTTCAAATCTAGGACCCATTCTCGGGCTCTTTCCTCTGCACTGCAGGCCTGTGGACAGCCAGGGCTAGGGAGGGTGAATGCTGTCCTTCACTGTTTGCTCAAAGCCCTTCTAGTTCCTAACTTCATAATCAAAAAAAAGGACCAAAACAAAACAGAAGATACAATCCCAAATAAGGAAAAATTGGGGCTACGGATAGAGATTTTTCGTGTTACCATTCTTTTCTAATGAAACACAAATACCAGCCATTGATGGATGTACACATGCTTTGCACTGAAGAACGCCAGGAAATCGCTCATGCTAAATTGAATGTGCTCCTACTATAGCTCCCAGGTCACTCCTCTGTTGCATAGGAATGAATGTTTCAGAAACCACCTGAGAATTAAACCAAAGGCTGAAACAGACTAAGAGAAAGAAACTATTTTGGAGGATCAGCAAGTGGTGCGGTGGTTAGGGTGCTGGACTCCTACATGGTCAACCACAGTTTGAATCCCAGACCTGGTGGTTTGCTTTCTTACTCTCCCTTTCTCTCTCTCTCTCTCTCTTTCTCTCCATGTGTGTCTCTCTGGCCAAAGAGAAAATAATAAATAAAAGGATTCTGTAAAGACAAACTTAAAAAAATTTGAAAAAATAAAAAGAAACCATTTTTGGCTAAACTATACTGTACAATGAGATCTTCTGGATTTTCAGAACAGAGTGGGTCTGTCGCTGAATGAAAACTCTACTGCAACTTCAACACTTAGGAATCTAAGCAAAGATGTTTTTCTCTCCTCTGTACATTTAAAGTCATCTCATTTCCTTGGACCAGCAGTTGGTGTAACGGCTATGTCACTGGATTCCCATGTATTCGACCATGGTTCAAGCCCCAGACCTGGTGGCTTAAACTCATGCCGGGCACGTGTGCATGTGTGCCCAAGATCCCAAGAGGAGAATGGAGGGGAAGGGACTGTGGTGGGACCCTCCCCCCTGGGGGGGGGGGGGATTTGGTGATTTCTCAGTTTCTGTCTGTCTCTGTCTTTCTGGTGAGTGCGCACACCCTATAGCAAAAACCTCTTCCCCCTAAAAAAAAATAAATAAAATCATCTCATTTCTTACTCAAGAGAGTCATTCGAAGGTTGCTCCATTTATAACCTCCCATTTAAAGCAGGGTCTTGCCCCATCTCACCTGCCTGGGACACTGCCAGAAATTAGGAAGCAAGAAAGAAAGGCTGGTAGGAGGCCACAATAAGCACACCTAAGTTTATTCGATTCAGCCCAGCAAAAATTTCCCCTGGGCACTGTGCCTGATGCTGGGGAGCATGACAAGGATGTAAGAAGTATAATTATGTGGGGAGCATGACAAGGATGTAAGAAGTATAAAAACAGGAGCAGCTAAATAATGAGTTCTTGCTATGTGCCAGGCACTGCTGTAAACACTTAAACTAATTCAATCCTCCCAACAATCCTGAGGTAGGTCCTACTGCTATCTACATTTTTGCAATAAGGAAACTGAGGCACAGAGTGACTGACTTGGCCAAGCTCACACAGCTAGCAAATGGCAGATGAAACCCAACTGGTCTGGTTTCTGAGTCTGTACTTCTCGGCACTATACCATATTCTACTGCACTCGAAACAGAATGAGGAAAAGGATACAGAAGACATTAAAGTTACTTCTGTCCCGGAGCCTATCGTTTAAACATGAAGACAGGCAACTAAACCCAGGGGAGTACCCGAACCAACTTGGGATTCAGAGAAGGCTCCCGGCAGCAGATGTCCTGGCAGCTGACTTCTTAAGTTCGTGGAGGAGCTAACCAGGAGAAGAGAGAGTTGTGGGGTACATTCCCTAAGATCCCAGGGTGAGGAAAAGCAGGAACAGGTGTGGAACTGGACACCAATCACCGAAGGTACACAGAATGCAGGCAAATAATGGTGTTTGGGAAAAGGAAGAGGTTAGAGAATGAGGCTGAAAAGTGAGAATGGAGAGGTAAACAGAGGCAAACTCCTCAAGTTCCTAATAAGGTACGTTAGGGACTTACGGAATATATCCTGAAAGAAATGGGGGCCACGGAGAGGCCTGAAAAGAGACGCTAGGGGCATTTTAGGACTATCACTCAGTGAAACTAGAGGAAGGCCAAGCAGATAAGGAGCTGCCACCGTGTATAATCAGCTGAGAGGACAGTGGCTCTCTAGCACTCTACGGGGTGGCCCTGTGTTTGGAGGAAAGTGGGCTTGTGTAAGAAATGCTACGAAGGAAGAAGAAAACGTACCTGTCACCTGCCTGTGGGGGAAAAGTAGGAACCCAAGGCAACACACCAGGTTTCTTCCTGGAGCACACGGGAGAGGCTGGCATTGAAATAAGCAGCACTAGAGGAGGAGCAGTTTCAGACACCAAGAACCTCTTCACTGCTCGGTCTTAGGCACCCGACTCGGAACCAATGAAAGAATTCTAAATCTTTCCTTCCATACTTTTAATGATACTAAGTTTTTGGTCTGTCTTTCAGCCTATGTGATTAGAAGCTGAAAATTCAGGGGGAAGTGATTATACCCCAGAAAACAAGAAGGCTGACAGCAGGAAGAGAAAAGACACATTTAATTAATTAGCTAATTAAATTTAAATTAATAAAATAAATAAAGAGAGACAACTTGGGAATGGTAAGAGAACAGACAAGAGTCCTTGCCATCCCACGGTAATATGGCACATGGCAAGATCAGGTTAAAGGTTTACTTAACCACTGAGAACAGGTTAATTTGTGCTCTATGTGATGTAATTTGATAAGCATAAGAAATTTAGAAAGGCACTGTTAGAAATGTTTAAGTTTTGCAGCAAAAGCTTCTGTTACATAGAAAATTCACTGAGTGGAAAAATCCCACTCTTAACCACCACTGATGGTTAAAATACACAGCAAATCCCACATCTCTCTCCAGAGAGACTTCACTGATGAGCATAAGGCCTCCCACTAAGGTCAGCCTTCCTCCCTCAAACCCAGCATCCTGTTGCTCCCCTTTATCTTCTTGAGAAGCGCTAACCACGCAGTGATTCTGGCCAGTTCTGTGGTTGATTTTATTCCAAGTGACATTAAGCTGGCTCTCACTGTAAAGCCACATACTGCTCCTTTAGCAATTACTTCAAAAATTCTGATAGGAAACGAGAAAACCATCGCCAGGCACAGAATTAATCAGTGTTAAGTACGTTCCTTACCTGTCTCTTATTACGACCTCACCACAGGACTGGCAATAAAACGTGCAGCGTCCTCCGGCTTGTGAGTTTTGGTTAAACACTGAAATCGGTTCTAAAAGAAACCAATGAAATAACAAGTCTTAGAGGTTTGGAACAAATATATTAACATACTTAAAGAGCTTAATAGCCATGGTAAATTACCACCAATAAACACTGTTTATGATCTGCCCAGAAGTATACATTTATTTAGTATTAACTGATGACTCAACCAGAAGCAAACATTGTAAAGTGTTTGCAAAAACAGCAGATTTTGCTAAGTGTTTCAGAGTGAGGTGTTACCCTAGCTTACCCATGGAACATGCCAGAGTTATTTTCTCAGTCTATGAATACCAACACTTAAGATGAGTGACAACGGACTACTTCCTTCACATTAAGCTAACTACATGGGCCTTCGCCATCCTCAGTTTTCCTCTGCTGTGTCCTCAGCTTTCCTCTGTTAATGTGATATGATTTAAACAAGATTTCTGTCCATTCTGGCGCACTGATATGTACAAATAAAACGGACTTCAAATTTGTCTTTATTGGACAAATCCCTGGGAGCGAAATGGTTCCTAAGAACAATCCAAACTTTAATTCAATTAAATCGAGCAAAATTCAATTTTTGGTGATAGCTATGGAAAAATGTAGAAAGGTATGGGGAAAATGTGTATTTCCCACGCTCTACCAAACAGTAGCACATGGCTGCATGTTCTCTTAGTTTGTTACTCCATTTTTTTGGGAGGGGAGGGGAAACCCTTTCACTAAAAAGAAAAAAAACTAAAACATTTGTCTTTTAAAAAGTCTAATTAAAGAAATGATATCAGACCCTTAGAAGTAAGCAAGTTGGGGACACAGTGGCATAGTGGTTAAAGTGTCTTGATGGCACATGGTTGACTGCAGCTCGAGTCTCGAATTCAGTAGACTGAAGCACTTTCCAGGTATGTGTGCAAGTATGTCAAAACCCCCAATGGAGAAAGAAAGGAGAGGGGATTTTTCTGTAGCCATCCCCACTGGAGGGTGCTTTCTCTCTCTCTTCAGGGAGTGCATGCACCCTCCAGCCAAAATAAAAAGAAAGAAAAAAAAGTAAGCAATTTGAATTTGGTTTATGTTGCTTTATATACTTTAAAGATTAAAAAGGTGGCTAGAAAGTTTAAATGTTGGATATTACAAATTCTAAAGTTTAATTTCTAAGGGTCCTCACAAATCTCTAAAGTACAAAGGTGAAATACATAGTATTACCCTTTAACTCTGAGCAGATAAAAAGGAGACCTAGGCAGGACATCCAAAGTATTTCTTTCCAGAAACAATGAACAAATTTTCAGTGAAACACTGCCCTCTGCTGGCCATCCAGCATGATACACTGGATCAGGTTTAAAAGTCAGAACTTTCTAAGAGAAAGGAGTCATGGGAGAGCAATTGCTGACAGGCATGAACCTAATGTCTGCACTAGATGAACCCTTCAGTTCTATTTCAGTGGTCATCAGCTGATCTATGTCACACTCAAAACAGTGCATTAATATGGTGTTTACTACAGTTATCCTTAAAGGGTCTTTCTATTGAAAAGTTAACTTTTTAAAAAAAAAAACCTGAAACATAAACTGAACGCTAAATCTTTTTAAAGTCACTTTTCACAGTATAGTTAGAGTCAAATTCACATCAGTATGCATCTATATGATATTTATTCATTCAGCAAATATTTATTCACCACTATTATGTGGAAGCAATTAAGTGCTGAAGAATTTATTTTGCATACTTTTTCATGCACCATGGAACAGGCCTCTGGAAGATTTCATTTTCAGATATTTCAGTAAAATGTTTTAAATTCATAAAAACAGCAGACGAATGAACACAAACAATATGTAAATCAGTCATAGCAGCCAATTTATTTTGTCCTACAGTTAGGATTAAACAATGTTTGCCAATTTAAAATTTTAAAAATAATTCCAGTTTTGCTATTTGTATATTTACAGTTACAGAATATGTATAGGTGGGCAATAACCCAGGACTAGGTCCCTGGAGATCTCCATTCCTCTCTCCCTAAAATCACAGTCCCACAAACTAGAAAACACTCCACTGTGACTTTCATGCCCGTGTATCTCCAGGTTTCAGATTCGACCCAAAACTGCTCTGGTTACTGTTGTTTATCCACGTAAAGTAAAAGGAGGCGCAGACTCCCACAGACTCTTCCCTGAAACACCTCCTCTACCTGTTGCAGGTATGCTCAGAGAATTTATTAGTCTAGTCCCATCTTGGCGACTTCATCCTTCTGTCTACACTTCTAGCAGTCCTTCCTAACATTGACCCTATGCCATTAAACTCCCTGAC